AAGTTCACAAGGAAGAAACAATTCAGAACATCAGTTCTTGACATGAACAACTTAAACATACTTACACGTCATTGAACGGTATTAGAAAGTGTTGTCCATCACAGGCCCCCTTAAAGCGATCAGCAAGCTTGCGTGACCTCTGCCCTATGTTCCCACATGCAAGCGTCCCTACCATGCCGGGATCCACGAAAGAGATCATTTGAAGCATTTTGTTTTTTTCACAAGCTCATACAGGCAGCTGCAAGGGTAATTACATGATAGTTATGTCACTTGTCCATAAGAATTTTATATCAAAAGGCTTTTAACAATGAAAATAAAATGTTTGTGTGATGACATTCTTACTGGATGTATATTGTAATTATGCTTCCAGCCATCTCGCCACGAGCGCACAGAGCATGTATATCACTCAGAAAAACTGATAACTTCTTTTCCACCCCAAAGGCATCTTTATTAAGGACAAAAGTATGTGCTCTATCATCAGACAATGCTTCCTTAGCCCACAACCATAGCCGTTTCAACTGCAGTGGCACCAAATTCTACTTGGAACTCTTGGCCACATTCCTCATCGTCTTGAACATGTGCCTTTTTCAATCTTTAAGGGGCCTTTTTCTTTTTGACAGTTTTTAAATTGCTCTATAAAAATGTGCACGTGGGTAAATATATTATCTAAAAAAATCAAGTAGACATAATAGTAGAGACATAATAACCTTTCCTTTAGGAAGCACATCCAAGACTATCAGCTCCTTAGGCCATGCTACAAAAGTTCCTTTAGCTTGTTCAACAGTAAGTACTTCACCGGGGATTGGGACTGGAATGTCAACATCTGGCAAATATCAAAGATTAAAAACATGAGTACTTCTAAAATGTGTGCATTTCATCCTTAGCTAATACATTCAAAATATTAATAAATTGCTCATGCAAACCTTTTATTGCTTCTGTAATGGACACCTTTGCATATTCTTCACCCAGTTTTTCACCATGTAGGGTGAGGTCATCCATCCGAGAGAATCCATACACCTTTGCATGTGCAACAATATTGTCCACAGAACCAACAGCAAGCTGTGCCATTTGGCTCTCCCCAGAATCAACATCATCGAAGACATCTTTTTCTGCTTTCTTCTCTACTTTAAGTCCTCCAACTTCCACAAGCTTCTCCACAGTATCAATTTCTTGATCTTCTCTCTCATTCTTTTCACTTTCTTTTTCATGTTGTTTCTCATCAACATGCTCAGCCACGGACAGTATATGATTACACTCATCACCAATGTCATTATTCTCTCTGAGTGGTTCAAGTTCTGCATCAAATGAGTCCTTTAGATTCTTCCTAGCCACTTGTTGATTCTGCCCACCTTCCTTGAATTTAGGTGAGCAGCTAGCCTCTTGGGAAGGGACAGCGGGACTACTTCCTTGTTTCTTCCAGATCTCTGATTTCAACTTCTCTATCTCAGCCATCCAAAAAGCATCTCTTGAAGCAACAATGTTATTAACCTCCTCTGCCAAACGTTGTCTCACACCCTCCTTCACTTGCTCATCAACTGTTGTTTGTGTCTTCTGCTTCTTTGACCGCGGGAGATTGAAATACACAGCCTTCCTCACATGCATTCCTTGACCTCGAACTCTTCCACCGTGCTCGGGATTCCCAAGAGCCTTGGTCAATACATCATCATCACCTTCTTCAGTAAGCACACCAGAACATACTTGTTCCCTTAAGAACTCCTGAAAAGGAACCAGATTCTATCAATAAAACAGAAGTGGTATAGAACTAAAAATTTTAACATTACACTAAAGCATCAAAGGAATATCAACAGGGCTGCTGGGATTAGAGACATACAGCAACATTATGTGCAAGAACTTACTAATTTTCAGAAATTATTTAAAAACTTACAATTTCCTCCGCCTTCTGTTTTGTAGAGTCACTCTTGAAATTTCCTTCTTTGTCCTTCCTTGCAAGGACCCACGTAACAAATCGATCAATGACTGACTCATCTCCACTGTGTGTTTTTGCCTGCATGTTCATTTAGTGAGTAATGTATCATAGTCAAAATGTACATGTAGAAGAGGAATACTCCTAACACAGAACTCTGCATATATTAGTGAGTACTAACCCATTCCTGTTCCAGGTTTGCATAGCCTTTTTGGGACAAGCGATGAGGATATTTGTTTTCCTTAACTCTCTTCACATGCTCATCATGGACTTTCTGCAAAAAAAGGAAAGTTCATCAAAAAGGTAGTATTATAAATAAAGTACAATGGAAACATAGTCTTACCAAGAACTCGGGGCTTAGACGATCAGCAACAAAAATATCCCAATGATTCTTCTCCAAGAAAGAGAAGTCCTCTGGTGGAGTCCTCAGCCTCTCAGGTTCATCTCGAAAGGGAAGAATATATTTACATGTCAGGGTACTCTTGAATTGTTTCCACTTCGAATTCGCCGACTGCAGCACAAGTTTTTGTGCAGAAGGGGTAGGTCGAACCCCAACTATATGCATAAACATGGGAGGAATTTACTAGTATAAGTCAGTTGGAAAACACAGGTATATAATTAATGATCAAGTTATTTATTTTGTAAGGACTAGTCAAGTGTTAGTATGGTTATATTTACCGTGACAGCTTTCCAAATCTTGTTCTTGATGGTTACCGGAACTTGCCTCCAATTGTCAAACCATATTGGAGCTTTTGTCCTGGCCAAAACTCCAATATAAGATTGCATCTCTGCAGCAGCCACACCATACGGTTGTCCCTTATCATTAAACAAAACCATTGGTTTCTGTCCATTTATCTTACGTTTCACAACGCGGTGCATTGAAACACATCCACGTTTTCGGAGTTTCAACCCACTCCCAGAAGGCTTGGCGACACTTTCACTTTCTACTTCTTCCCGCTTTCTCTTCTGCTTGATCTGTTTTTGTACATTGTCAGATATAGGCATTGGTTTTGGGGTGACGGGCAAGGGAGTAGAATGGCTTTTCACGTTCTTTGACCTTGAGCCACTCAATGCCTGCACCACAGTCAAAGTGCTCGGCCGATCTTTTCTTTTAAGCCTGGGAGATTTTCGGAGCTCGGGTTTTGGGGTGTTAGAATACGTGCCCTTCACTAGAGGGGGGTGAATAGTGAGGCACGAGAATGTTTATAAATTTTCGCGGAATAAAAATCGTAGGGATAAAGTAAAGAACGTAAAAAGTAAAGAGCGTAAAAAAAGAATAAAGAGAGCACACCAAGATTTATACTGGTTCACCACAACGTGTGGCTAGTCCAGTCTCCCGAGAGACTCTCTCGAGCTACACTACTTCCGTTAAGCTTACGGGTGCTTAACAAACCGTTACAACCTGAGAACTCGAGTCCCACGAGCCTCAATACACTTGCTCGGAGATACCGCACTCCAAGACTTCAACTCGAAGGAATANGTAAACTAATTTAGATCAAGAACACACTCAATTCCTCAAGAAATGGCTCTAAAAAGCTATGTAAAAAGTTTATGGAATGATTCAATGTAAAGCTATGAAATGTGTGAGGAATGGATGTGAAAAGTAGACCCAAGAGACCCCTTTTTATACCCAAAAACAAGGTGCAACGGTTGGGAAAAGATTGGGGTTGATTAGCTTGATTTGTGGAAATCAAATAAAAGTGGATCTGCTGAAATCTAGCCTGACAGCGCTGTTCATATGGTGAACATCGCTGTTCTGGCTTTGACTTTCCTTTAAAAATGGCTAACGGTCATCAAAACATCGATGTCTAGAAGTCTACATCGCTGTTGGGGTGTTTGACTTTCAAAAATGGAAAGATTTTGTCTTAAATAGCCCAACGGTCATTTGAAAACATCACTGTTCAACCATGAACATCGCTGTTCAAAAACTTACTGCCCAGGGCTTCTGAAGGCCAACATCGCTGTTGGGATTTCCGACATGCATGTCGGGATGGTTTGCTAGAACCATGGTTTGGCAGCCAACGCCGAAAACCGATGTCAAAAACCAAAGTTCTCCAAAATGAAAACCAAGTGTTGGAAACTCTTATATAATGTATTTTAGGTAGAAACCAAGTATAAAAACGTAAAAACAACTTCATTAAGATAAAAACCATGGCTAGCCAAGTTTATGCTGTTTCACATGGTTTTCACCAAAAGACCAAAAACGAAAGGTGGTTTTTGACATGTTTTTGTTGGAGAACCATTTGGATATGTCCAGAAGTAAAAACCAATCATAAAATATTAAAAACCACTTGATTGATTTGGACGCCAAAAACCAACGCCGATAACCAACACCGAATGCTGATAACCAACGCCGAAAAACAAAGGTTATGGTTTTTGAAAACTAATGATTTGGAAAACATTTTAATGTGTCCAGAAGCTTAAACCAAGAATAAAAACCCAAAAACCATTTGGTTAAAATCAATGCCAATAACCAATGCCGAAAACCGAACGCCATAGCCGAACGCCGATAACCGATGGTTATGGTTTTGGTTAAGCAAGAACCATGGGTTTTAGAAACTTAAAAACCATTTATGAAAACACTCATTTGATGCATGAAAAACATATTTTGTTTTGAGCCATGACATAAAGAAATTGAATGAGCTTGTTACAATAAAAACCTAAGTATTTAGAATACGTCTTCAAAGCTCCAATGTTGTCATCTTTAGAAGCGTCGATGCCTTTCTTGTGCTTTTTGTTTCTTCAAAGAACTTTTTCAATCTCTTTGAATCTTTTCATTTTGTTCCATGTTCCCGACGGTTTGTCAATATCAAAACCTAAACGGAAACAAACATTGTCATTAGCAAAATGTCAAAGTGAAAATGTTTTCCAACAATTTCCCCCTTTTTGATAATGACAAACCAAGGAGGGGATATGCAGGCCAAGTTGGTTTTTCAAAGAGAGAG